TAACTCATTCAAAGTGTTGTCTCAGTGTAATTAAGGATAGTCTTTGCTCATCACCAACGAATAAATATTCTAAATCTAAATCACTTGAATCTGTGGATTGTAATTCACCACAGGAAATAGTAGATAAGAGACTATCCTTATTAAAAGAAAAATATAATGATATTTTTAGTGAGGATAGATATGATGTTGGACTCATAAGATTAGAGCCTCAGAAGGTTATTCTTACTTCTGAATTGCCAATATCTTTACGTCCATATCGTTGCTCTCCTCAAGATAATATAGAGATTGAGACACAAATTAAAAAGTTGTTAGAAAATGATATTATTAAACCTTCACATAGTCCCTATTCAGCCCCTGTAACGATGGTTACAAGAAAAGATGAGGGAAATAGACTTTGTATAGATTTTAGGCGATTAAATTTAGTAACAAAATCAGATGCTCCAGCCTTGATCTTTCTTGTTGGATAGCTTCAAGAATGGCAGACCTGTGTCCTCTGCCCCACTGTTTAATTTGCATGGTTTCCATGTGGACACCAAAAGCTCCCAGCTCTTCGTATTTTCGCCTGGAGCGCTTGACTCTACTCTCCTCGTCAGAGGGTGAGGAATCTTCGCTGGATGAATAACGCCTTTTGCGGCTTCCAGGTAAACAACAGCATGGACAAGTCGGGAGGAGCGGCTCGTTCATTCGTGATGGGCCTGCTTGACCCACATTTTCAATGCGCCTCACGCCTTTCTTATTAGCAGAGGTTTCGCTGGAAGAACTCAATCTGCGCCGTTTGCACACTGGCTGGATGTTTTGATCTTCAACAGAAGAATCATCATCTTTTTCTCTTTCTTGGCGCCATCTTTCTTCTCCCCATCTTTATTTCAGCGAGCTATTCGCCAAATACTGCAAAAACATAATATTAAATTTGCTAAAAATTTCTTTGAGATATTTTACTGCGCGGGTGGATTCATTTTACAAATAAAGATTTCATCGCTATTCAACGGAACTTACTATATATGCGAAGGGCTAAGTTAAGTACGTGAAAGAGAAATTTAATGTTCTCAGAAACCAGATAAGCTTATTTGCAGATAGATATAATTCTTTTTAAGTTTAGTCTCAAAAGATCCTTTTAATTTTATTAAGCTGGTATTTTAGATATTACATATATATACACATATATTTGATAATATCTATACATATACATGTAATAATTAGATTAAAAAAGGGATATTAATAATATGCATAAATAGAATTAACTAGGGGAAATCCCTGAAGGCCAAATGGTCAGTAACATAAGCGATAGTGTTAAACCACAATCACCCAATTTAAGTTTGAGATCCGTTGGATCCTGGACGT